AGTCCAGATAACCCGGGTTCAATTCTCAGCACCCACATGACAGCTCATAACTGTGTCACTCCAGTTCCAGGGTATCCAACATACTCATACAGGCATACATAGAAGCAAAAACACCAATGCACATGAAATAAAAATAAATACTAAAAAAGAATATATACATACAAGCAACACTATATACCTAATCAGGTTCACATATTTATTTGCATATATATATATATGACAATAATAATTAAAGAATAAGAGGCCATGAATTTGAAAGGGAACAGGGGAGGGGGATTATGAGAGAGGATGAAGGGAAGAAAGGAAGGAGAATGATATAATTGTATTTCAGTGAAATAAAAAAATTATTTAGAAGAGATAGAGGAAATGATATATTTTAATTAAAGATTAAAACTTATATACAATTTTCCTCTGAAACAAGAACTCATGAGCAAATTGAGAAGACAAGCACCAAGGATCTAGGAGGTGGAAAACCCCAGGCAACTGTGGAAGAGTTAGTGTACTAGACCTACAAAGAACTGCTCTCAGCCAATCAGAAGCAAGCGCATCTGTAGCCAGATAAATGATGTGAAAAGGCAAAGGGCAGAAAGAGGCTGAAAGAATAGCTAATCCTGCTCATGACAAGCCTGCCGCAGCTGTGGTTGATCAAGGACACACTTAGTAAATGGCTGCATCGTCACTCAACACCTGGCGGCTTATCCCAAATTAAAGGGTCTCCAACACAAGAGGTAGACGGGAAATGAAGGAGCAAGAAAACTCCCAGATGTAGCAGGGGAATTCAGAGCCCCGAGATTGCTGAGGGAAACAATGGGGTGTGTCACAAATGCACTTCTCATGTACGCGAAGGGAGGGGACAAATGGCAGGTGGCTGTGCACCAAGAGATCTGGCTCTCCCAGCAGCTTCCTGGTGGAGACAACCAGGCCTTGCCTGCTCTTTCCTGGGGAGGCCAATCAGAGTGAAGCTGTATCTTACTCCAGGAGAAAACAGAGGATAGGGTGTCCTGCTACCTGCCCAAACCACTCAGGCTCCCCAAACTTGGTACCTCTTCCATCACTTGACTTGCTGTTCATGCTGGGGCCTCTGGGTCCTCCAGGTCCCCCTGTGGACCCTGAACCTCGGCAACCAGCTTATTTATGTCAACACTGCTGCAGCTCTGTCTGTGACTGTGAAGGATTCCTGGAAGGAAGCTGTGTCTACAGGACTGATTGACTACAACTGCATCGAAGTGGGGGAAGTTAGAACATTGCAAGTCTAGAGCCAAATTTTCTTGGGGTATCTTTAGCCCCTTAATAGCCATGTTTTGCCCCCCTTTGTATGTGATGTAACATCATTTGTTACCAATGGATAAATCCTTTGGAATGTATGTATAGATCCCTGTTTCAGGTGATCAAAGTGCTAAGACCACTGTTAGAGAGCATCAAAGGCTTATAACAGAGTTCCCCTGCTTTGCTGTAGCCTGCCTACTTAATGTATCCACAAGTGTATTTGAAAGTTGGTTGATTTATCACTTTGCTTTCTCTGTCACTATAAAAAAGTTCATGAAATTGATACCATTGGGTCATGGTAGTTATAGAGATCTGAATCTGTGTTCCCTAACTGTGGTTGTTTACATTTGGCTCCAGAATAAACGTATACCTTCTTTTCTTATGTGGTAAGATAATGTAGGAAATTACCAATATGGAGCCAGGTACAGGCTGGCTACAGAGTCCCCTACAGTAAAAGCTGTTCCTCTCATTGAAATAAGTCATGATGCTCCCTGTCTCTGGCACAGGAATCTTGCATCTTATGCCATCACCCTTGAAGCTGAAGTAGCCTGCCCTGTGAGCCGGTAGGGGTGAAATCTCACAGCTGCCATAACCTTGGCAGCAGCTATCTATAATCTCCATCACCATGATTGGCTTCTGTGCCGTACAGGAAATAAAATACTGTATGCTAATTAAGCGAGTATAACTGGGTCTGCTAATACTATTAAAATGCACAGTCAGTCTTCAGTGGATACAAACTCCCTACAGAGTGGCATTGTTACTGAACTGTCACTGCGGATTGGATACATTCACATGAAACAAAAATATAATCCTCTATGGCAATTGGCAGTTAGAAACTTCAGTTTAAAGACAAGGACCCAATAAGGCTCCATGATCTCTGTACATTATTATTTAGTAACTACTAGGAAACAAACACACATGTGGCAAGATATTAGAATCTTGTAGGCGGTGCATGGGCATCCTGGTGTTGTATTCCATACTGTTTTGTATATATCAGAATGTCAGTGGACTGGTTCTCCCAACTTTTGACCATCTGTTTGTCTTAGTCTCATAGAATGATCATGTATTTTCTTACAAGTATGAACCTAGGCTCTCATAGAACATAAGAACTTCTAGGGCTGGTGGGATGACTCAGTTGGTGAAGTTATGGTCACACAATCATAAAGACTTGAGTTTAGACAGCCAGGTCCCACATTCAAAACCAGGTCCTGCAGCACACATCTATAATGCCAGTCTGGGGGTACAGGAATCAGAAGGCTCTAAGAGGATTGCTAGACAGCCAGTCTAGCCAATCAGAAAAATGAGATGGAAAGATTGCCAACGATTGACTTACACACACACACACACACACACACACACAGAGAGAGAGAGAGAGAGAGAGAGAGAGAGAGAGAGAGAGCCATAAATGTTGACGAAGTCAGAAATATGATTTTACATATGGAACATCTTTCAAGTTAAAACATCCCTCAGACCAGAAGCCTGGGGAAAAAAAAGCATTGGTAATTAGGCTAACATCAAAGAAATGGGAGACACTTTCTTAAGAAAAAAAAAAAAATAGTCCTAATGTGAAGATGGAGAACGGCCCCCTTGGCTCCCCACTCAGGCCTAATTACTACTTCTTTCTTCCTCCTGGGCTTGGTCCTCCTGGCCTCTCCTGACCCAGCTGAATGCACAGAGTGGACTGATATGTACACAGACTCTGTGTCCACATGGCTTTGATTTGGGAGAAAAGATGAATCGCCCGCAAGCTGGTAATCTGATCTTTGCCCTTCTGCTGGTAAACAGTTAAAAGATGCTCAGTGCATTCCCCACCTCTTGACATGAGAGTAGCAAACAAAAGAGGTGGGGAGGGGCCTGGCTCCAAGAGGGGAAGCCATTCATCACCTTCAGGGAAAGGAATGTAAATAGGTTCAGATTTAGTCTCTAGTCCTCCCTAAGCCTAGGGGAGGGGGGCTCAGAAATACTCACCTTGTTTTGGTGAGTGGGCTAAAGGCCAGAGGTCAACAGGGCTGCTCCAAAAGGGCCACACAATGAGAGGCTGTTTAAAATCAGAATTCTTTTCACTCTAGCTTTGCAAAGCAAAGGGGTCACCATAGAGCTGAGTGTGGTGGGGTCCTCTGTGTGTGTCCTGCCCCTTTGTCACGGGGCAATTCCAGCAGGAAACACAAGAAGCTGTGTTCAGGGTTGTCTGCCACAAGCAGCAGGGTTTCCCATGCCATCATTGCCAAGGGATGTCTCTCCACCTTGGGGAAGGTCTAGGGGGTAGGCAGCTGGTCAGCTGTGAAATGGACATAGGATGGCTCATTTCACATGAATACCCACACCATGGGCAGGGTGAAGCCTTCTGGCCCTCACCTGTGCTCATCATTGAGACTAGACACATTGGCCGACTTGTGACTTGAATCTTGGACATTGTCATCAGAGGGAGTATCAGGGAGCTGAGCATACAGCTCAGCCCAGCTGCTAGGTGCTGGCTGTGAGAGGTGGTCTTCCAGGACTGTGACGATGGTACCACCTCTGCAACCATTGCTGCAAGTGAGTATTGCGGTTCCGTAGGCAGCACTGAGATTTCCAAGAGTTCTTGTGTCCTTGAACAGGATTTGTACAGGGAGATATGAATAATATTAGAGGAAGAAACAGTCCACTAAAGGTACTTCTGGAGGCAGAAGAGGACCAGGGCTGGGGAAGGTGGGAGGCTCACTGGCATCCATGCTTGGCTCTGGGACATTAGTAGAGCTCACCTCTTTTCTGCACATTTTATTGTACATCAGCCTCAGTAGAGAATAGCTCCCAGTCTGGACTATTCTATACCCTAATTTTGAGCTCACTATTCTCCCCAAGCCTCCATCCAATCCTCAACCCCAGCTGTGCTCAAGGGTGGTGATGGTCAGCAAAATGAAGAATCATTTCCGGGAGCTGAGGGTAGCACAGACACCTCCAGAAGCCTCGTTACCAGAGTTGTTAGTGTTGGAGACTGGGTCCTGGCAGCCCAAACACACTAGGCTTGGCCACCCCTCTTTAATGAGTCAGTTAAAGAGACAAGCAAGGGGAGGGCAGGAAGAAGGCTTTGTGGGTAAAGGGCTCACTGTACAAGCCTGATGATCTAATTGCAGATCTCATCTAAATGCCAGCCACCCTGCAGCTGGAAAAGGCTAAAATCATCCTTGAGGTGCCTTGGTACTTCTCTCCCAGACCCGAGTGAATGAACATTCACACCCAAAATACAACATGTAAGCACAGCCCTGGGGGATGCAGGTGCTCTCTGGCCAGCCATCCAGCTGAAACAAGAGCTCCAGGTTCAGTGGAAACTGTGTGCTGATTGGGAGTAGGGTGGAAAGATAGTGAAATGGCTTGTCAGATAAAGGCGCTAGCAGCACAAGCCTAACAACCTCAGTGCCATGGCATGTTCATGTCTACACACACACACACACACACACACACACA